CTTGCTACATATTTGTACACGCACATAACATAATTTGGTCAATTTCATTTCCCAGTTCTCCTTTCTCCTCCTTCCTCCCCCTGGGTACCCTTCCTCTATTCTACTAGTCTCCTTTCTCTTCATGAGACCCACCCTCCTTATTTTCTCTTTTTCTTTCTAGCTTCCACATCAAAGAAGATATATGCCCCTTGACTTTCTGAGTTTGGCTTTTTTTGCTCAAAAGTTCCATATATTTTACAGCAAATATATAATTTCATTCTTTTGTTGTTGTTGTTGTAGATGGACAAATACCTTTGTTTTGTTTATTTTTATGTGGTGCTGAGGATCGAACCCAGGGCCCTGCATGTGCTAGGCGAGCATTCTACCACTGAGCCACAACCTCAGTCCACCATAATTTCATTCTTTATAGGTGAGTATAATGCCACTGTACGTGTGTGTCTCACATTTTCTTTATCCTTCACTGGCTGATGGATACTGAGACTTGGTTCCATAAATTGATTATTGTAAATTATATTGCTATAAATAGATATGCATGTATTGCTATAATATGCTGACTTTAATTCCTCTTTTTTTTTTTTAAAGAGAGAGAGAATATCTTTTTTTTTTTTTTGGTAGATGGACACAACACAATGCCTTTATTTATTTATTTATTTTTATGTGGTGCTGAGAATTGAACCTGGGTCCCACGCATGCTAGGCGAGAGCTCTACCGCTGAGCCACAATCCCAGCTCCATTAATCCTTTTTTAAAAAAATATTTATTTTTTAGTTGTAATTAGACAACACAATACCTTTATTTTATTTATTTACTTTTATGTGGTACTGATGATGGAACCCAGGGACTTGCACGTGCTAGGCAAGCGCTCTACCACTGAGCCACAACCCCAGCCCCTGACTTTAATTCTCTTGGGTAAATACTGGGAGATATTATTGGGGTCATGTGATGGTTCCATTCAAGTCTTTTAAGAAACCTCCACACTAATTTCCATAATGGTTGTACTAATTTAAAACCACATCAAACATGTAAAAGTGGTCCTTTTCCCCCATGTCTTCACCAACATCTAGCTTTTTTTTTTTTTCCCAGTTTGAGGATCAAAACCAGGGGCTCGTGCATACTACACAAATATGCTATACCACTAAGCTACCTCCCCACACCTATTATTTGTATTCTTGATGATAGTCATTAAAATTGGAGTGAGATGAAATCTCAATGTAGTTTTGATTTGTATTTCCCTGACTGATAAAGATATAAAAGACATTTTTGAATATATCTGTTGACCATTTGTATTTTTTTCTTTTAAGAAATGTCTGTTTAGCTCATTCTAAGCAGCTATTACTAAAATATTATTTGTTTCTTCACCAGGAGATTCAATCTCTGGTTTGGTTCTACCCCCTCATTAAAATAACCCCTGGGTTCAATCCCTGGTACCAAAATAATAATAATAATGATAATAAAATAAAATCATATACTAAAATCAGTATATAATTTAGAAACCTTCAAGAGATGCTTATTAACTTTTGATAGAATGACTATTAAAAAGAAGTTTATGGGGCTGGAGTTGTGGCTCAGAGGCAGAGTGCTTGCCTAGCATGTGTTTAATTCTTAGCACCGCATAAAAATAAAGATATTGAAGTCCACCTATAACTAAAAAATAAATCTTAAAAAAGAGGTTTATGACTAACACCAATTGGTTAAAAAGTTATTCTCCAAAAAACTTCTATTAACACTTTTAAACCAAGAAGCTTCTATACTACTCATCAATATTGATAAACTCAGGTTCAGAATAACTGAAGTCTGAATAGTTCAAGTCTTTATATATATATATGTTTTAGTTGTCAATGGACATTTATTTATATGCAGTGCTGAGAATCAAATCTAATGCCTCACACATGCTAGGCAAGTCTTATTTTTAATTAGCAATCCTTTATCCTGCACCAGTACTTAATAAAAATGGGCTAAAGTTAAATTACTGGAATCATGGCATTTGATTTAAGAAAACTAATGTTACAAAAGCAGAGACAGAGCACCCAAGAGAGAGAAAATAATTTTCACAGGCAAAGACCCTAAAATCACAAATACTTACTCAGAAGTATTTTGGCTAAGTTTCCAGAGGGACCCATCCCAGAAGACCTGTAGGTGCTCCTTGAACAATAGTAAATGTGCTAAATCTGCTATACCAAACAGGTCTACCTGAAATCACAAAAAGTGCCATCAGCTAAAAAATTTCTCTGCCTCATCATGGCAGTTTATTTAGGTAGGAAGTTGAAAGGTATCATACAGCTTAAAACTTATTTTATGACATACAGTTTAGTAGACTATAGGAAAGAGAGAAGCTCCCCAAAGAAGTGATCAATTCTATGGATTATCCTTAAGAATCAAAGATGACAAACTCTCTGGACTATCAAATCAAATGTATAGAACAACACATGTGTGGGCTGCTTGAATCAGCAAATGCCTTGTGTCTAGAGCTCAATCAGAAAAGATTTTTGCATATAATGCCAACATATAAAACACTTCACATTTTTCTAATGTTCTTTTTATATACATTATTGAATTTGATCTACACAATAATTCTAATGTATAAGAGCAGAGACTGTTATGCTTATTTTGTAGAGATCATAGAAAATGACTTATAAAAGATCATATGAATTTTAAGTAGTAGAAGACACGGCCCTAACACTTAGGTTACTAAGTCAGGTGTTTGTATGTGTATGTGTATATTCTTCAGTGCTGTGACAGGAAAATGATACATTTTACTTGACTTGGTGACACAGTATTTGAAAACTAGGTCATCTATTCTAGGAGAGTCCATAGTAGTAAATCTAGCTTTTACAGCTTATCTAGATAAAGAAGAGATTAAGAAACCCTTCCCATATTTCCTCAGGATTGTTTTACACTTACCTGGTAGGGAGAAGAACAGTTAGCCAGGATCTTTTGTCCTTCCAGGATCTGTATAGTCCGAAAGCCATTGAGGGGGAAAACATCTAGCTGCACCCTAAGGTCAACACTGTAGGAAAAGTCCACTATCTTCAAAGCTTGACTGTTCTTATTATAATCATAGGGATCGTAGATTCTAAGCCCAGATTTAAGAGAAAGAGATAATAAAAATAGGCCATGAAAGAAGCTGCATAGCTGATCTTAAAAAAAAAAAAAAAAAAAATGCAGGTATGTATTAGCCATTCCAACAGCTCCCTCCAGTGGTCAGTAATAAAAATACACACAAAGGAACAAGGACAGTGTCCACTCTTGTGGACTAATTAGTGAGGACAGTGTTAAGACCAGTTTGATGACACTCAGTATATCTAAATCACACTGCATGGCCACTACAGAATAGTTATCAAGCTTTCATTTTATATAGTAAGTACAGGAAAAGTAGAGAGCAGGTTTCTGCCTTACACTGTACAAATCAAAATATACAATAGCAGCTGGGCGTGGTGGCACATTCCTGCAATCCCAGCTACTCAGTAGACTAAGGTAGAAGGAAAGCAAGTTCAAGGCCAGCCTTGGCAACTTAGACCCCCTCTCAAGTTGGTGATACAGTGCCCCTGAGTCAATCTCTATTACTGACGCAGTGTGGGGAGGGGAGGAATAGGATTCTAGCTTTTAGTGTATATTAATGACCTTAATAAGTTAACTGCTTACTAAAACACAGGGTTGAGGGAGAAAAGGCATCTTTAAATCAGGCCACCCTACTCAAATACTATGAGACCAATAATCACTAAAAGGGTGTGCTTATTCTCTGATTCTTTACATAAAACAAAAATCTTGGGCCATCTTTTCCTTGTTTGTGACTCTACATTTTCTATATTTTTTCAGCTCTAAGTATTTTGGCTTCATTTTTTTCTTTTTGCCCTTTGCTCAACCTCCAAATCTTATGACTAAATTGGGTTTACCTTGAAGACTAAGTCCTTTTACTTGGTTTATATTTACACTCTGGTTCTACTAACTTCTTTTGGCTCTTGTCTCAGTTTGGCTTAACTTAAGCTTTGGTCTTTGAAACTGAGCAGTGCCTCTACTGCTGCTATATCTGCACTGTCCCAACTAAAAAAAATTAGTAGACACAATGTAAGTCACATTTTCAAGATATTTATACTTCATATCTTTTCACACAGTTAATTCTTTTATCTGAATTAATATATTTCCTCAATGTGTTTTTCCTTCTCTTTTTTAGTAGATGAACACAATACATTTATTTTATTTATTTATTTTTATATGGTGCTGAACATTGAACCCAGTGCCTCACGTGTGCTAGGTAAGAGTTCTACCACTGAGCTACAATACAGTGTGTTTTTTCTTTATGTTCTTTTAAGCTAATCCTAATGATTACTTTTAGGTAGCAAATATTCTCTGAAAGAAATGTGTTCACTAATATGGCATTCATCAAAAAGCATAAAAAAGGGCAATTACCCATGTCTTAAAAGAAAGCTGACAATTAGAATAAAAAGGACCAACCTGTTTCTTAGAATCAAACTCCTTGGACTCAAGTCCCCATGGACTATTTCTGCTTTGTGTAGTTTTTCCACTATTGTCAAAAGATTATAAATAATCAACACTGTTATTTCATGGGTAATAAATTCACTGTGCTGGAGAAGATCCTGGAAGTAGAAGAGAAAATATGAAATTTTTCCAGTTGGGGCAATTATAGTTATACTTAGTACCTTGATAACTGATGCTCTATACTCTTTTTGTTCTCTACTAGAATGCTGACTAAGTCTATGTCCCAGTTTTAACAACAGTATGATCTCCTATAATATTATAAGGATTTAATGAGCTAAAGGAAAGAGTATCAAGGATGAACCGCATCCATAAGAGATGCTCTGTAAATGTTTTAAAATAATTTCATTCCAACCATTTTAGAGAATTCATATTACTATCAAAATCCTCGGCAAAAATTTCTTAAGAGCATGCCAGGGGTGGCTAAGTGGTAGAGCATTTGCTTAACATATGCAAGGTTCTGAGTTCCTAGTACTGGTGGTGTGGGGGGGGGACAGGGGGGTCAGGTGCAGGGCAAAGAATAAAATTATATGTTGGTGTCTGGGTTTTAAAATAATCCTAGGAGTGGGGCATAGTGATGCATGCCCAGTGACTTGGGAAACTGAGGGAAGAGAGTCACAAGTTCAAGGCCAGCCTCAGCAATTTAGCCAGGCCCCAAGCAACTTAGTGAGATGCTCTCTCAAAATAAAAAATAAAAAGGGCTGGGAATGTAGCCCAGTAGTAAAGTGTTTCAGGGTTCAATAGTGACCTCCCCCAACCAAATCCTGGGGGATAGGGATACTATATATAAAACAAGAGTGTCCATGAGCTGATGATTAATTATTCTAGTTAGATGACTGGCTTATGGGAATTTACTATATAAATCTATCTTCTTTTTTGGTCAAAATAAAAAGTTTTTTTTAAAAAAAAAACTCGTGAAAAGACAAGTAATCAATGCTTTAAACTTTTAATTCATCTATTGCTAGAACACTGGCAGGAATTTTGTACTACTATCTACTTGAGGACTGTGAATTATGTTTTTAGTATTAATGCAAACCTGCAAGGTGAAACAGTTTACATATTGGTACCAAACAATATAGCCATCTTCATATTGATAACAGCTGCAAAAGTGATCATACTCCTCATTTAAACGTTCCTTTAACTTGAGGTTGATGTAAAAGTCCCATGGGATGGATTGAGAAGATACCTATAAGATATTTTAAAAATAAGAGCAATTAGCTGGGCACAGTGGTGCACACCTGTAATCCCAGTGGATTGGGAGGCTGAGGAAGGAGAATCATGGGTTCAAATCCAGCTTCAACAATGGCAAGGCACTAAGCAACTCAGTGAGACCCTGTCTCTAAATAAAATACAAAATAGGGATGGGGATGTGGCTCAGTGGTTGAGTGCCCCTGAATTCAAAAAAGAAAGGAGCAATTAGAATCTATGCCCATGGCTAGCAAACCAAAACCAATTCCTTCTAGTCTTTCTGATAACCCAACACAAATAATAGTGAACTTTCTTTTTCCTCTTAAACGAACATCTTAAAAGGCATAAATCTACAATAAGGGACATAATAGCAACAAGATTTTGGAAGCTGGAAAGAGGAGTAAGAGGTTAACATTTCAGTTAGATGACCCTATAGTATATAACTGGTAGCAACAATTACCTATGGAAGTAAGGCTAAGGGCAGAGCTAAAGTAATAGTGGTTGAACTCCATTTAAGAAGAAGCTAGACCCTGAAATCTCCCTCTTGTTCCTTTAGGCCAGCCTAGAAACTGCCACCCAACAATACCCAACCCCTTACCAGACTACAAGTTTGTTTCATTTAAAATATCAAACAATGGAGCTTTGGACTAGAGGACACTAGTTACCAGTGCAGATGGGAATAGAAAACCGGGAAAATGTTTATATATGAAATGTTAAGATGTAACTCTCTACCATTGCCTTCTCTGAACAAATTTCCTTATACAGCTTTCAGAAAACTAGTAGCCAGGCTTATATGCTCTAAACAGGAAATCAGAAGTCTTATTAGGGGGATCTGATTGGCTCAATAGAAAAGATCTAAAGACTGAAGGGTTTTCCAATAAAATGACCCACCTACATCATCCTGCAGTGAGGTACTTAGCTATTAAGGTCCCTCTAAATTCACAGAGGTTTCCATTAGTTTTTAGTGTTCCACACTTAAATCTGAACAGCAAGCCAAAGGCTCAGAGAAAGCCTCTAATATGAAAGAGATGTAAAAAGACAAAAACGGGAGGAAACATGATGCAGGAAGAAAAAAACATTTAAAGTATCATTAATGCTACAAAGAAAATCCTGGGAACAAAAAAAAAAAAAAAGAAAGAAAGAAAGAAAGAAAAAGAAGTCTTGTAAATTAAACATAAGATCCTATCATGATCCAGAGAGAGGGAAAATTAGTTTCACACAGTCTGGTGGCATACACCTGTAATCCTAGCAACTTGGGAAGCTGAGGTAGAAGGATCTCAAGTTCAAGGGCAGCCTCAGCAACTCAGCAAGATTCTTAGCAACTCTGAGAGACCCTGTCTCAAAATAAAAAAGGACTGGGATGTAGCTCAATGGTAAAGTGTCCCTGGGTTCAATCTGTGTACTTCCCCCCAAAATAAAAAACAATGAAGACTGAAAACAAATTTGACAAAATACAGCTGGAACTCTGTAAGTGCAGGTTCTGCATTGGAAGATCAACTAACCATGGATAGAAAATATTTGGGAGAAAAATTGCACCTATAAACTTTTTTTTTTCTTATTATTCTCTAAACACAGTACAACTATTCACATAGCATTTATATTATGTTGGGTATTATAAGTAATCTAGAGACAAAATATACTGGAGGATATTTTAGGTTATATGCCACTATTACACCATTTTATTTAAGGCACTTGAGCATCCTCAGATTTGGTATCTGTTAAGAGGTC